GGCTGTCCAAAGGTTGACATGTTCAAGAAAATCTTTTAATTTTGCGCCGCCTCCGAAAAGGTTGAAATGTATTTAATATACTACCTAACGAGTAAATAGGTTTCATTCATATCTGTTACGTAATTGTATGATTGAATGAAATAGAAATTACTTCATTAGGAAATAGAAATTATTTTATACTTTTTAGTGCATTTCGAAGTCGGTGTATTTTTTTTCTGAAAATTATTTTTTTTATTCTAGTTATTGCATGATTTAAAAGCGCAATATTATGTTTATAGCCATCTTCTTTCGTAAAGCCTTTTTGCCGGATGGATTGCTGGACAACTTTTCTGAGACGGGCGTCAATCATAGAAGAATATATTCTACCCAACATTAACCCTATCGTAATAGGTCTCCAGTTTTTGACATCTCTCGTGTCTTTTCCTTGTTTGGGTATAAGAGTTGTTCTATTGTTTCTCCATTGCTCCGGGTAATGGTCGGACAACATTAGCAAGTTAAATAATTCTTGACGCCATCAGGTCCAGGTGCTGAATCAGCCTTCATCTTTCTCATTTTTACGTTAATATCCATCGCCGATATTGGGATGTAAAGCTCTTCAATGGGTATACTTGCTTGTCTACTAGAGCCCGGAATCTGAGGAAACCCGTCACAGCTACTAGTAGTACCCCATAGCTCTTCATATAATACATTTATATGAACGGCGCCGCCGTTCCCTATTCTAACACCCTACCAGATAGACAGCAGGTCTCGGTCAAGTGGGTAGGAAACATACTAGCTGCGGACCAGGGTATTGTTGTTACAATAGATTATCTTTGACGAGGCTTATGCCAGATTCGGATTGCGTTATACGCAACAGACGTAGGAAGAAAACGCGGAAGATCTTACAAGCTAACGCGGAACATGGCGGGCAATGTTTTTAAACACGGAGGGTCTTACAAGCTAACGCGGAATACGGAGGGTAATGTTTTTGAATCCGGAGGGTTCTTACAAACTAACGCAGGGTATCTTACGGACGCAATGTTTGTTCATCACTAACGCGGTTTTCACCGTCTCTTAATCGCGGTCTGTTTGCCGTCTTTTAACGCGGATTGCACTGTCTTTTCACACGCGGAGCGTTTTCACACTTACACACTTACATACTATTACTGAATTCGCTTAGGTCCAAAGTACGGTGGAACACCCGCAGATCCACCGGGTCCTCTTCGGAGTGGGCAATGGTAAATGACGGTCCTCCGGCTGCGGCGGGGGCTGGTCCTGGGGCTGGTTTTGGGGCCTTGGCCTGAATCCGGATCCGCCTGGCGTTCACCCTCTTT